GCTCGGGCAGGTCCAGGTTCACTTCCTCTTCTCTCCAGGGGGGGAGGGACGGGGCGCCTGGGCGGCTCAGTTGGCTGAAGCATCTGACTCTTCCATTTCAGCTCAGGTCATGATCTCAGGGCCTCGAGACCGAGCTCCCGCGTGGGGCTCTGCGCTGGGCACGGAGCCTGCTTAGGGTTCTCCCTCTCTCTCTCTCCCCCTCTGCCCCTGTCCTGCTCGTGCTCGCTCGCTCACTCTCTCTTTCTCTCTCTAATAAATAAATCTTTAAAAATAAAGAAATAAAAGGGGAGAAGGGTACCTGCCTTGCTCAGCTGCTCTGAGGATATAAAGTGCCCAGAACAGTGCTGGCCGTGGAGTCGTCTGAGAGCTATCCTTACTACTACCGGAGGCTTGGAAACTTTCTCCTTTTTCAGTGAAGAAACAAACATGGAGCAGCTGAGAGGCCTGACCCCGGCTTGACCTCTGCTTCTGAGTCTAGGGCTCATTCTAGAAAACCTGTTCCCTGCCACATCACCTGTCATCACGATCCAGCCGGCTCACACCCGCCCCACCCCCACCTGTGCCCCACCAACGCCCTGGCCCACTTTCCTCATTTCTGTTGTAAATAGTGTGACTCGGCTCTTCCGTGTGCTTATTCGGGAAGTGGTGTTTGCCATGCTGCTTACATTCGGGAGACGTTGTTCCTGGTGGTCATGTCTTTCTGGCTGGCTCTCGGGGATGCCCTGGAGGTCTGGGCCTTTGTCTCTTTCTCCGGAGCAGGACTTTCTGGAGGCTGGTGGTGGCAGCCGGGGCCGCTGCCTGTGCCTGTGCCCGCGGCAGCACCTCCGAGTGGAGGGGTCTCCATGCTGGGGTTTCTCCCATGGCTGTGGCGCTCGGCAGTAGTGAGACCAGCCTCCCATCCGGCCAGGGAGGTGATGCTGGGGCCTTGGCCTGGGCAGCCTGAGTGCTTCCAGGTCTCTTGTGGCCCCCACGGCCCCAGCTCTGACCGGATCACAGCCATCTTCCCCCCCCCGACCCCTCCCAGCCGGCCACAGAACCTGGCGTGCTCTGTCTGTGCTTCTCCACGTCAGGACAGGCCTGGGAGTCCCTGTGAGTGTGGGACGCAGGGGTGCCAGTGCCGTACCTCCATTTGGCCGGGAAGTGCCTTGTCCTTCACGAGATGCTTTCTCTCTCACTTTTTCCTCACAACAACCACAGAGGTGGCTGCTAGAAGCTCAGAGAGGTGCATTCGGTGGTCCCAGGGCACAGTAAGTGGTAGTGGGGTCAGGACTCAAACCCAGGCCGGGGCCCATGTCCTGCCAGGGAGGGGTGCTGGCCCCCACTCCTGTCCCCGCTGGCCTCCCTGGTGCCCCCAACACCAGCTGCTGTGCCACCTTGCACCTCTTGTTTGGAGGAAGGGTTGCCATGGTGAACACCTGGCAGGGAAGGGCGAGGGAGGGGCGAGCCCAACCATAAAAAGGGCCATTTCCCAAGTCCTGACTGTAGGTGAAGTGGGAGCTCTCGCTCCCTTCAGCCCCTCACCCTGAGGTGCTGTTTCCATAGAAACAAAAGGCCCATTGTCTTGTCCCTTCCTGCCACCGTTCCTAAGTCAGCAGCGAGTTCCCCCGCGTGGAGGACTGGGCTGGTCACCGCCACTGCCACTGCCCTCTGAGTGTTTTCGGACGGTGCCCAGGAGCCAGCCAAGCGCGTGGGGCTGTGCCCTGGGGAAGCTCCTCTCCTGAGTGCCCGACACACCAGCACATAAAGTCAGGAAGGCCCTGGGGATGCCCAGCAGGGACACCCTATTCCTTCTCCATCCTTTAGAAGAAACACAGAGTGGCCTCATCCAGCACAGCCCCGGCTCACCTGGCTGGGCATCCCGTTCCCGGGGGCCTCGTAGTCAGGTTGCTAATGAGCCCGTTCCTCTCCCTGCTGCTTGCCTCCCTCAAAGGGCAGTGGCAAGAAGCAGGACCCCTCTCTCCCCACAGGCCCTTTTCTTGGCCTCCAGCTCCCCAAACATTGGACTGCAGCTGGGCTGTCCTGGCACCTCGTCTCAGAAGCTAAGTACCCAGGACTCTGTGTGGCAGAGGGTCGTGTTCCTGATTGCATGGGGCCCCCAAACTAGTAATTCCAGTACTCTGGGAACTGTCATCCGGGAGGAAATCACTTTACTGCCTTAGAGCCCTCACCTAGGGAAAGGATCCTTTTCCTACAGTGAACATTCAGGACATCATCAGAACAGACATCATGTGGGATCTCAGCTCCCAGCACTTTCCTCCCCATACCCTGGAGCCATCCATTCCCCTCCCCAGGGCTGTTTCCTGTTCGAGAAGAGGAGGAACTGAGCCAGGGAGGGTTTCGGAGGTCCCTCTGAGCTCCTGATTCAGACTCTGTCTTCTCTCTCCCTGCTGCCCTCTTGTCCAGGGAGAGCCTGGGCTGATGGATAGGGTGGGTGGAAGAGAAAAATAGAAAAGCTAAGTGCTGGCAGCCTGTAAGATTGCTTGGTAAGAAGTATATAGTTGTCAAGCAACATGCAGATTTTTGCAGGTCCAAGTGTGGCCCTTGGGAGAACCTTCGGAAATCCCTTCTGAAGGTCTGGGGATTGGGGGGTGGGTGTCTTGTCAGGGTTGGGGGTGGGGGGCGAAGTGTTACCTGGTGGTTTGAAGGCTCACTGCCCCCTCTACTGGTGGAAGCTGAGCTCCTTTTCCTTCTGGTTTTTCTCTCAACTAAGACCTTGTTTCTGCACTGGGTGCACTTAGCACCTTTCCCAAGCCTGCCACCTGTGTCCATCCAGGAGCTTGGGACAGGCCCTCTGGGGCAGAGATCCCAATCTCAGGGAGCAGCATTCACGGGAGAGCCTTGTTAAAACACAGTGGGGAGTTTGTATCGCTGGGCTGGGCTCAGGAATCTGCATTTTAAACAAGTGTCCTGAGTGTTTTCCCATGTAGGGGGTCCCCAGGGCAGCGGATTATGACAACACTTGGATAGGCCCTTTTCTCACGGGGCTGCCAGGCTGGGGGGCGGGGGGAAGTTCCAGGTGATGTCCTCCAGGGAAGGAAGAAAGGCACAGACATTCCCTGACCAGGTGCTGGGTGGACCCATGCTAAATGCTGTCACACAGAACTCACGACCACCCTGCCTGATGACATCATTCACAGATAGGATATGCAGAGAGGCAAGCTTCTGTGTCCCTGGTCACCCAGGGAGATAGGGCAGCATGGTCTCTTGCCTCCCAGGGCCCTGCACAAAGCATTGTGGTTATCTCCAGAAGGTTAGGGTTAGTGCCACTTTCCTACATCATTAAAGACTATTTGGAAGGGCCAGAGGCTTCTTAAAATGGACCCTCCCCCCTGGTATCCCATTAGTGGAGAGTGGCCATTAATACCTCAGAGTACCTTCCAAGGTCGCCTGGGCCCATGCTTTTCTTCCCAGAGTTCTCTGAGGTGACTGCAGTGACAGTTGCATTTCCAGAACTCTCCTGGGTTCTCTGATTCATGCATGTGGGGCCACCCTAACTGGCAGTGTGGTCTGGCTCCTAGTTCTGTGGCCACTGGGCTCCTGGATTTGGGACTTCAGGCTCACCTGTGTCATCCCTGGGGGCTGGAGGTCTCAAATGTCTCTTGGAAATCTGGGCCCCTGTCTGGGATGGAAGGTTGGGGAAGTGCTTCTAGGGTTCAGAGCTCCCTAGGGGACCTGTGGGCCTCCAGTTCCAGGATAAGTCTACTCAAGAGCTGTCGTGAGTAGAGTTTCAAAATTCAGTGTCACTCCTGAGCATCATGGGTCATGCCCCAGCTGGTATTTGGAGGTCTGACTTGATAAAGCCAAGCAGTGTTATCAGTCAGGGTCCCAACCACACAGCAAGGTGAGGGGAATCAAGTGAGCATCCTTCGAGGAACAGATCCCACCTGGGATCTAGAAAAGAAGCCAGCATCCTTATTCTCATTGGCATATGTCATGATCCCTCTGACTTTCTGGTTTCCCTTGGGCCTCGCCAGGGCTTTCATCACCACGTGGGTGAGTGAGGGCATGTACATCGCCCAGCCAAGATCTATTGATGCTGCTATTGTTGTTAGTATTGGTATGAACCTTTAAGTAGCTTGCCACTGCCCAGTCATCCGTTTTACTCAACAAATATATATCTACGCACTGTTTGCTCTGTGCTAAGTTCCTGGTACAAGAGCGAACAAAACCAGCAAAACCCCTGCTCTTACGGAGTGAATACTGTGCTGGAAACGGAAGGACAGGGAGGGCAGTGACCCTTTTATAAAGGGGTGATCGGGAAGGCCTCTCTGATGAAGGGACAAAGGGACATTTGAACAGAGACTTGAATGAAGGGATGGAGAACGCTGTGTGGACATCCAGAGGAAGAACCTTGCAGAAAAGGGGAATATGAAGCCCTAAAACCCCTAGGGGGGTAGAGCCCATGGTCCTTGTGTGGCATTCGGATCAGCAGCCTTGCCCTGACGCCCCAGGCACCTCTACCAGCTCCCACCCCGACGTTGGGTCTCACTTCAGCGTTCTCTCCCTTTGACGTTTGGCCTTCCCCCAAATCTCCCTTGGGCTGCCCATGCCACATATACTTTGTAAAAAAACAAAACAAAACAAAATGGCCATTTGTGTATTCTTCCCTGTTAACCTGAGCAGGTCTGATTCTCCTCAGTCCTGCCAAACACCTACACATGCTAGACTCTCAGTCAGCATGCACTGAAGGAATGATGGCACACACAGAGTTTGTCCTCAAACCATCTCTCCGTCAGAAGCATGGAGATGAATCCTGAGTCTAAAGAATCTCTGCAGGCTTTCATGGCCGGATGGAACAAGTGGGAGGCACAGCCTGGCAAACCTGGACTCTCACCCCCGCCTGTCCCAGCCTCTCCCAGCCTCCCCGGGCGGGGAAGGGGGGGTGCAGGAGCCAGGGCAGAGCACAGGCCTAGGAAGCAGGCCCGCCCTTCCCACCCACCGCCCCCCCCCCCCAAGCTACACGCCTTCCCCTGCTTCGGGATGCAGAAATTGATCTGCTTACCTGCCTCCAAAGTGCGGCTCCCCTTGGGCAGGAACTCCGCATCTGCTCAGTAGGCCAAGCAAACAAAAGATGCCGCCAAGGAGAGGCAGTGGGGACTGCTATGTCCGTTGCAGCCATGAGGGGACAGCGGAAGTAAGCAGCAGCAGAGCTGTGTCGGAGGCAGCCTGGCACCACCGTGGAAGATGACCCAGGCGCCTTGACCCTTGGAGCCCTCAGGGAGGGGGTGGTGCAGTCATCCAGCCCCCCCCCCACCTTCTCTAAGCCTTACACGCTCTCACGCTTGGCCTCCAAGGAGGCCCAGCTGGACTTGCAGCAAGTCCCAAGGAGCGGGTTCAGTCTGCCCAGACAGGGTGGTGGCCAGCCGAGCTTGTGGTGGGGGGAGGGGAGGGGCTCCACTGGAGCCTCTTCAGTGTCTCCCTTACTAAGGGCCCAAGAGAGGAGGCAGCCGCCGCATGAA